TAATTTTCAAAGTTTAGTTACCTTCTGTGCCCAAGCAGGTTTTTCAGATTTCCATCTGCTATTTCCTTGGGGAAGGAGAGTGAGAGAAAATAACTTTCCCTTTCAACTTTCTTCCACTGCTTTTACAGTCTTCTTGGGAAACAATGTATCGTTCAAAAGATTAAATTTCCAGGGTATTTAGAGGTTCCTAATTGTCCCGGTTCAGCCAAGAACTTTCACTTTCTCCAACTTCCTCCTGCACAATCTTGTCTGGCTGCAGGCTTCTTTGTGGCGGCCATTGCTGACCGCCGCTCCACCGCCTTGGGAAAAGGGGGTTTAGCCGGCTGGGGAGCGGGTTTGCGATACACCCGGACCCCTGCCTGGATCCCCCCTGTCTTCAGTTACCTCTATATGGTAACCATATCCTCCAAATCCAGCTGGATCGGAGGCACTTCAGCAGCGAGCGCAGTGGGAACTGCACACGATCGCGGATTCCTGCCACTGCCGAAGCCTGCACCGACTGCAGAATATTGATTGTTGTTGTTTGGCTGGCAATGGGAAGACCCTAAATCTAACACTGAAACATTGAGGAATAGGCTAATATTCAGTGAATGATAGATATTTTATTTTTGCAGCAAATAAAATAATCATGACACAAATTCTTTTTTATTTATGTCAAATAAATGCTAGCATTGCTAAGCTTATTATATGTTTAAGATCTTATTGGAATATTATACCATTTTCATTGCACTTTTTATTTTCTACCATTTTCTTCAGGCATGTCATAGTATATGTGTTTCCTAGATGAAAAATATAATCAGTTGTTTGGCCTCCTTAATGGTTGTGAATCATCTTTCCATTTGGGTTTAGACTCTGGCTACAATTTTTTCTGCATGACATTCCAACATAATTTGTGTTTTCAATATGTCTATTTTTAGCCCTTATGCTTCAAGGGCTAAATTCCATTATGAAGCCTTTAATAAAAACTCAGAGACAAAAAGATTAGCTGAGCATATATACTATAACTATTTTGCATATATGCCAACAACACCAACAAGTTTAGGTATATTTTTAAACTCTTGATCTATTCTTCATGGAAAGAACAATAATAGATTTTTGTCAGTTTCCACTTGCATTCTAGAGTTTCAAGGAAATGATAAGTAGCTTAATTTTTAATTAATTAAACTGATTAAGATGACCAGTCTCTCTTTCTCACATTAAATTATCAATATTACTTGCCTTAAAATATTTTTGTTTATCTTTTATCAAAAATGAAGAATTTGCATGCTGAAATGTTAGAACAAAGAATGTTAATTTCTTTGTGAATAGCAAGAATAAATATCGTTCCAATAACGCTAAAAACTGTTTGTAATCTACCAGTTCACCAGAGATTATTATACATGAGAGGAATGAAATTCTAATTTAGTTCATTGTAATTTACTGATATACATTAACTTAAAACATCCTAAAATTCATTGGTCACAACCCTCCTAGATTTCCAGAAACCTTAAAGAGTATGTACTTCCCACAAACATTGGAGTGGAGTGATGTTGGATCATAAGAAAGTTAACTTTTAAGGTGCTGGGAAATGTAATTTGGGGGGCACCAGGGGTTTTTCTGATTATATTTTTCCCATTGTTATTGTTTTTTGAAACTTGGCCAGAGTTGTGCTGCTTAGGAAGAGCAGCTATAGAAATCTTTTAAATAATTACTTTACTTGATTGCTTCTCTCAATAAAAGGTAGTGGATATAGTGTCTGTAGTGGTTGAAAGCTTGAAATTAGCAAAGACAAACCATTTTTTACATAGATTCTGAGTCAATAAATATCAAAATGTCCCCGTGAATTTTTTTAATATATTGGTAAAGCACAAAAACACACATGACAATGATGACATAAATGTGCAAGAGATTCTGTCATTTTATTTATGCCATCCTACCTTAACACTGGTTTTTCAATTTAATCGTAATTAACATTTATATGTTTACATTTGGTTTATAGTATGTCTCATAATGTTTTGTGTTGTATGAAAATTGTAAAGTTGCATGACTGTGCTATGTTTGAGTTGTTTCTATTGATTATCTTCACTGTCCAGTGTTCTTTCAATATGGGTACCTAAACAATACCAAAACTAATTTAGAGAAAGGGAAATTTATATGACTACCGTACCTATCGATATAATTGAATATTTTTCTATTATAGACAGCACAAATTTTGCAGCCATGTAAACCCAGACATAGTGAGTTTTCTATCTATTAGCAAAATTAAATATTATGGTAAAATGTTGTTTTGGTACACATGCACAGATGTACAGAGTATATTTCAATTTGGAACTGCAGATTCGTTTCTTTAACCTACTTGTATCTCAGGTATTAGTAAACATCAATTATGTAGATGGAAAAGCTCAGTGATTATAGTATAACTCCGATCCCATGTTAGTGTTAATATAAAAGGGGTGACAAGCTGGAGCTTTTTAAAAATGTGCAAATGTAGTGGAGGCTATTTATTAGGGCTCTGAAAAGCATTTATACAAGATGCTTTGCAAAGCATGTTGACATGAATGAAGTATCATCTCTGATTCATTAATATACCTGAGTTTTGCAAGATTTGCTTGCTTGATTTGAAGGGTGCTTTCCAAATTTCTCAATCTTTATGTACGCAATATTTCTTCTAGGATCAGCAGCAAAGTGGTGTGATTAGGCATGCACGTGCATAAACCTAAGCAGGGCATTCTTCAGATGAACTTTGCATGCTTTCAAATAATGTGGCTGCTTTAACATTTCAAGTAGCACATCATTCACCCCGCTACATTTTCAGAAGTGCCTTTCTTTAATGCTTTGTAGCCCCTCTGCCTATAAATCTTAGTATTAACTACTCTCTTATTATTTTATAGGTTGTGGCTATTATATCAGCTTTCCCCATGTTGGTACTACTCAAATGTGTTACAACTACTGTTCTCAAAATTCTTAATCAAGCTACCCAAAAGATAGAAAATCCTGGAAGTTGTAGTTCTAACTAATTTTGAAACTACCAAGTGGCAGATAATGTATTAGAACACTGAGTTCAATGCATCATTAAGAAGACATATTTCCTTTGAAAATACTTTCTAAGAATTTTCTAAGCTGGAATAATTCATAATAATTCCTTGGTATCTATTTGATATGTCCATTCCACTTCTGCAGTTAATACTGATATAGACTGATGTAGCATCAAGGCCTTAGCACATTATTAGTACCAAAAAATTGGGAACCAGCTGTGCATTAAACAGTCTTTAAAGTCTGCACTAAATTGATGGAATAAGAAGCTCAGTTTTCTCATTCTGCACATTGGAGTGAAGGAAGAAATTATGTTAAGCCTTTAAGCATCCATAGGATAGGGGATGGGGAGGAGGCAAATAAAAAAGGATAATAACATCATGATAGAAAACATGAAATTTACATCAATTATAAATAGGAATGTATCGTGACATCATCACACACATATCATCATTTTGACATAATTCTAATTTTCTATGGATGTGTATAATAAAAAAAAGGTTGAATAAAAAATTACATGCTAGAAAAGAAAGGGCTTTGTCCATTCCTGGAAGGCATTTTATCCAATAGAAGGCTTCTGTGGGCAATATTTGCTGATTCCCTCTTCTCTGCAGCCAGTTGTATCTTTTGATCTCCTTTATTCTGGATAACATGATTAAGTTATGAAGTAGCTTCCAGATGAAACAAATGACTTCTGGGGAATTGTGGATTATACAAAGGCCATTTTCCACTTTCATTGTTGAGAGTATCCTCTATTGGTCTAAAGCAAAGCCTGGATCCAGTTCAATGACTGCAAATGTTGACTGATTGAATTAAAATCCCAGCTGAGGTTCTGTTAAAATGATAATAGTAAAATGAAGTCAATACAGATGGCTGCTTTATATGATAAATGACATGGGAATAGTCTTACAGAGGGTCCTTATTTAGCAATTGGAACTGGAAGTTCTGTTGTTAAGCAGTGGGGTCTTAAACTGAAAACCATTTGACCATCTCACTTAACAATGGCAGCTACAGCAGTCCCAGTTGCCATTGTTAAATAAGGATTATGAAGGTCTTTAAGGACCTCTTGTCACCTCATGACTCCAGATTTTCTACTGGCTTCCCCATTGCTTTATTTGTGGGAATCTAGAAGGAAAGATCACAAATTGTAATCACATGGCTACTGTAACAGCTATAAATATGAGGCCTAATCATAACTACCATTTCTTCAGCCATATCATAAATTCAAACAGTTGCTGAATGAGAGGTTATTAAATGAGGATCACCTGTACATTGACTTTTCTTATAAAGAAGAAGCATAGATTTATTTTGTTCTTTTCTTTTTTAAAATATTTTTAAATCTTCAGAAAGAAAATATATGATCACCCTATTTTTAATTACTGTCCTTTGAAATGGCCATCTGTGTTCACTTTATTTTATCATTAACACAAAAGTTCAACAAATTAGCCCAAGTAGTACTTTAAATTCATCAGAAGTTTTCAACATAGAGAATTGGTCAGATCCATTGCAATGGAAAGGAAAAACAATAGGCTTTAATTTTGGACATTATAAAAAACCCCTTGATTAAATGCTGGTTGTCTTTTCCATAAAAAGAGATATCTGCAATCCCCTTTTCTTGCTTAGTGTCCATGAAAAAACATTTCTGTGGCTGCAGTTGAAATTAAATTTTCGGTTAATGTTTATGTAAAACTAGTTTCAAAGAAAAATGAATTGCATTTTTCCTCAGAGAGGAAAAATTTCCAGCTATCAATTTTTTTAAGTGAATGTAGTTTTTGACTTAAGAAAGCAAGATAGTATACCTGAAATCTATAATATTCCTGTATCACTATTTCCAAAGGATCATTTTAGGAAGAAACTTCAGTTTGGTCATTATCTTGGTATGGAAAATGGTACCCATTATTGAAAGGTGGTCTGTATTTGTACTAATACAGAGAATGCCATTTTAGAAATGAGCCTGATTGCATGGTTCATTTTGTTCTCCTTTGTAGAGCCAGGCTGCGGCCCACTACAAAGGCACTAAACATGCCAAGAAGCTCAAAGCACTGGAAGCCATGAAAAATAAGCAGAAATGTGTAACTACAAAGGACAGCGCAAAGACTATCTTCACTTCCATCACTACCAATACCATCAATACCAACTCTGACAAAACAGGTTAAGCAATAATTTCTGTTGTGATTTATTTCTTTTCCCCTTGTTGACTGCCCTGTCCATTGGGTTATGTAATTGCCATGCTGATTCATGCTTGAGCCATCATTCTGTATAATATTGATTTCTTTCTTCTTCTTACAAGGGGAAGGTAATTGTGGCAACGTGTGTAACTGATTTCTCTTTTGCACAGAGATGTTTGTCATCATGTCAGGCATGAACGCATATATTTTTAAGATGAGTAATATCTATTGCCAGCAAACAATTAAGCATAAATTGCTCAGAGCCTTGTAGTCTAGGCCAGAACTGCTCCCCCTTTGCAGCTTTCTGTGACTCTTTTTTTAAAGCATTTTGTCAACACTTTATTGTCACATATTATTATTTCAAAAGGTATTGCATGATTTCAAATTGGATAATTTCCATGTAACCTTTATCCACTTTATAAACAGGTAAGTGTGACCAAAATGGATTATTCTTATATTTCAGTTTCACAGACTGAAAAACAGTATCTAAGTTTAAAATTATTGATCAAGTTTCTCTTTATTTCTTCTAGAAATAGAAACATTGCAAGTAGCTGCTAAATTGATGGGATTTGAGTCTCTTTGTATTTAAAATCTGAACCACTATTGGGAAACTTTATAAACAGACAAATAAGTATTTTATAGAAAAGAAGTGATTTTGTCCTTTTCTTCTCTAGTATTCAATGTACTCACCTATACCTCTGGGTGAGATGGGCAGCATACAAGTTTAATAAATAAAGATAAATAATGTACATAAAAAGGTCAAGACGCATTTGCATCTGAATGATATAAAACAAGTAAATGGTTTATTTTTTATAGTGTGGTCACTTGATAGAAAGGGTTCTTTGAACTGTTGCTAACTACATTTTGTCAGCCCTCAGTGTGGAAGTTCTGCCTTTGCTTATGGCCAGCTGCTCTTTTAATTAGTGTTCATTATTAAGGAAACAGGAATTTTACACTGAACTAAATTGGTTCTTGCCAGAGGGATAACCCATAAGACATACTGATTTGGCTTTCCCTTAATAAAATAAATTGAATTGAGACAGTTTTTCTTCTTTTTAATTAATGCATATAAAATGGATGCTTTACACTGATTAGCCTACAGACAGTAGGGCAGAGTAGTAGAGTTGGGGAGATGCTTAATGTATCTGTAACAATGACTACATTTGAATCTTGATTGTTGTGGTTTTATAAAAAATGTCCCTCAATTGATTAATTTTCATTCAAAGTAGACTTATCCTTTGTAAATCATACAGTTACAATTGGAGGTACTGTGGCAGTTGGATAAAGTAGTAGTAGTAGTACTGTGTTTGTCACAAAATAAGGCTGGGCCTTTTTCTTTTTCTTTTGACCCCTGAAAAAACGGCTAGGCCAACATTAACATTCTTCTAGACTACTATATAAAGAAGAATTGAGATCTGAATTGGAGGAATTGTGGAAATTTGTCGACTTGCTCCATTGTTAGCTGGAATCTGGTTTCTAATCTGACTCATGATCTTTTTTCTCTATTCTTCTGAATTTTCTTTTCATTTTTTCATATATATTCTAGAGCAGTGGTCGCCCATCAGTGGGCCAGGGACCACTGGTGGTCTGCGAGAAAATTTTGGTGGTCCTCAGAGAAATGTCACCCCTAAAGCAATTAATCCAGGCTGTGCGGGAATATAAGGCTGTGCTGCCCACATGGCCCACAGGAACACAAGGCTTGCGTCTCTTGCATTGTGAACAACATGAGGTAGCGAGGAGAGGGGGGAAAGGGCAAAGGGGGGAATTTGCCCCACTTGCCCTACATGTCTCGCCTGGCCACTGAGCTGTTTCTTTCCACTTCTTTCTTCTTCTGCTTTTAGCTGCACACAAGGAAAGCAGCAAAAGTCTTTCTTTCTCTCCCCCAAACTCTGCCAGAAATGAGTCTTTGGGACCCTGCAAGGCATCCTTCTCAAAGAGGCTGCGTTTTTTTGAGATTTAATATTGTGAGTTTGGTGGTCTCTGAGATCTAAAAGTTTGGTGATCCCTGTTCTAGAGATCTCTTTATCAATAGGAATTTAGGAAGCATGTAGCTAATGTAGATATTTGTATCATAAACTTTGCTTTAAGGTATATTCCATCTAGAATTACCTCAGTTTTTTGGATATAATCCCTATGATCAAAGCTTGTTTCCTAATTTTATGACTTGATTTAGAACATTTTTGAATATTTTCATTCTTTTCTCTCGCTCTCTCTGTCTCTCTCTCTGTGTGTTTGTTTGTCTGTCAGTCTCTGTCTTTGTGTCCTTGTGCCTGTGTGTGGTGGCTGTGATTATATTCTCTCTTTAATTCTCAGAATAATCCACCTAGGTTGAAGTTGTACTAACATTCCTGGAAGTAAATTACCGTGCAGCTTATTGTTATGTGACATGTTTAGAATCATATTATTAAAAGCATTTTAACTTTATATATAAAATTAATTTTTGCCAATGGTTGATAACTCCTAAATTCAGTTAATTTCTTTTTGATGATTCCATTATTAAACTTCCTTCTAAAAAATACTGTTAGTTTGTATTGCAAACAGCTTTTTAATTGGAAGAAAAATGAAATTGTATGGCATAACAATTATATCCAAAATCAAAACCTTATCTAGCTTTTTAGATTTTTTTATTCCTCCTTTATTATTCTTATTAATAAATCATACTTCCTCCTCCTTCCTAATTTCCCCAAAACAGCAACACTATGAAGTGAGTTGATTGGAGAGTGGTTGTTTCAAATTCACCTATCCCTTCTTTTTTGTTATTTATTTCAGGTATTTATATTTTAAGCTTATGATTAAAATTTTCTTTCATTCAAGATTAAAGGCAAACTCATCTAGCATTTTCATATTTTTATTTCAAAAGTCTTTAGTGGTTTAGGAGTTAATGAACAATTCCTGAAGATGATTAAAAAGTGAGGTTTGCATTTTTAAAATCTGTTTAATGGTTGTGAACAAGGTTACTAAATCACATTGTTTCCCAGCACTCAGACCCATGGAAAATGCTGTCCTGTAGTCTCCTTGCAAGAATAGTAACTTGGAGCACATGTAAGTTATCTGCTGCCCTCTTCTTAACAGATAACAGATAATCAGAGTTGGAAGGGACCTTGTAGGTCATCTAGTCCAACACCCCGCCCAAGCAGGAGACCCTGTACAATTTCTGACAAATGGCAGTCCAATCTCTTCTTGAAAGTCTCAAATGATGGCACTCTCTCAACTTCTGAGGGCAAGCTGTTCCATTGGTTGATTGTTCTCACTGTCAGAAAGTTTCTCCTTATTTCCAGGTTGAAATCTCCTTGTTCAGTTTCCATCCATTATTCCTTTTCTGGCCTACAGGAGCTTTAGAAAATAGCTTGACCCCTTCCTCCCTGTGGCAGCCCCTCAAATATGGGAAGACTGCTATTATGTCTCCCCTGGTCCTTCTCTTTACTAGACTAGTCAAGCCCAGTTTCTGCAACCGTTTATACATAAAGATTCCAAAGAACCTGTCTACTTGCTGGTTCCTTGATCTTTGCCACAGTCAATGCAAAAGGGACATCACATTTTAAATTTTTTAAAAAAATCATTTGGGCAAGATCTAATATATCTTTTGAAAGAATGGTTCTATTAATGTCACCTAAAGATCCCTTTTTCATCCAGAAAGCAGTTAATGGACAATTCCATTCAGAGTGTTTATGAATGCTGTTAACAGTTCTTTTCAAAATTATGTTAAACAACTGATAGCTCAATTGTACTGTTAAAGATTTCCTAACTTCTGGATACAAATCAATCTGATTCCAAATTTTATTGTTAAATGATAGCAATCAATTAGGCATAGATGAATTAATTATTAGATCTCAGGGCAAAATGAATTGATGGAGATGGTTTATGCATGTATGTCCATGTCCATTTGTTATAACAGTTTGCTTCAATATAAATTTCTTTCCTTTCCTTTGTATATTTCTTTATTTATTTTCATGCCATAAATGGGGGTGTCATGTGAGCCAACTGAGGGATGAAAGAAACCAGTGAAACGGTGGCTATCCAGCCACTTGGCTATCCAGCCAAGTCCACAATTTCTGATGTTCCTTCTAATTTTTATATAATGGATCAAGATGTAATAACTATAACATATTCTTAATCAAGAGAAAAAGTATACTTAGAATCCCATGCAATCATAATCTCCAAAGAGCACCCAAAAACTGTGTGCAATCTTTTATTTTTCTTGCCCTCTCTCACTTTATAGTGTTTCTTACCAGTAGGATCGGAAAATACATTCCTACTTAAATGACTGTTCCTTGACAAATTATCTTCTCAGAAGCAAAATGTTAAAATGTTTGTTGTTATGTCTGAGACTGCTGATGGGAAAAGACTGAGATATAATGATGGTTGGAATTGAAATAAAAGTTGAGATTGGAAACTGCTTAGCACAATCATATTGTTTGTGCAAAACATGGAAATAACCCTTTAAATAAATTAAGATTTGGGCAGAAGCTGGCAGTACAGATCACAAGGTTACCCTCTTCTTGTTATGACCTAGGGTTGGCACACTAGGAACACATGCTAAGTGAGAGCTTAACCACCTTTATTCAACCACCACCACCCACAATCCCCACAATTCAGAAAGTCCCAGTCTGTTCTCCAAAGTCTCTGCCCACAGGTTACCCTTACAGACCTGGAGCAAGGATCAAACATACATGCCTGTTTTGTGCAACTTCCTGACAGTGAAAATTCACAGGAGCAGCACCAATCTAGGAGTAAGACAGGACATCAAATTGGCAAAGTTTACAGTGAATGTCAAGACTAGGATCAAACATCATTCCACACCAGCAAGAATTTTGGAGCAAAGTTCTTCTTAGAGACATGCTGTATATTGCTGTGAAATACAACACTTGTTCATGACAAAACCTTCTCCCCATGGTGTCTCCTTAAATGCTATTCTCCAGGTGATCCTTGGGATGAGGAGTGGGACTATCTCCTCTTGTGTAATCAGTTCACCCTGCACTGACT